CTCCATACGTAACACTTCACTAGTTTCTTCTTCATCTCCAAGCCCAACTTGCTAGTGAGAAGTATCCTCTTCTTGACGAAAGCTGCCTTGGCCATGGCTATCCTTGCTTTTACTTCCTTGGTGCATAGGGCGTCCGTCGTGATTATGCTTCCCAAGTACTTGAAATGCTCCACATTCTCCAGCTGTTGGTTTCCAATTACAACCAACCGACATGCAAAAGGTAAATTTGATATGCGCTCAGAACCGTTTAACGTTAGTGTACAGCACTTTCAGACATCTTCCTTTCTTTAGGCAAAGTTCTTAATACTTTGGGTATTACTATAGGCTGACTAAGAAAAATCATTTTAGTGTCTCACGCGTGTGGAGTTGATCTTATTTATTCTATTGTTTCACAATTTTTTACGCGTCTTAATACTCCAATCGCTTATGTAGGATTTTGATAGCGAAGTTATTAAAACACCGACGCATTGATGGCATGATAATATTAAAATGAATTTTTGACGTTGGATATGGTACTGGAAAGTGGACTGGCTAGAGGATGGAGCCCGTTGGAAAACATTGATGTTATATCACTTGGGAGTGATTTGGTTAGATTTACTAAGAGATACGCATTCGATTGTTTTCGCATATGTTAGCTATAAAATGTGAGTTAGGAGATAAGTCTCGTAGTAGCACTGAAACTCGCCTTATGAATGAAGTGTTTGATGAAATTGAGGAGACTCACTCGCGTAGTTAGCACTGACGAGTAAGGGGACCTGTGATGTGTTCGTGTTTCTGAAGCTATGACCGTGGCTTCGAGGCGGTATTTTGAGTGTTTCGGAACACGAAGTCATCAGCGACGAAATTCAGTCTGCATTTCGTTTTTTCATTCCTTCTTGTTTTATGGCAAGAAGGTTTCTTTGACCTTGGGTCAAGGAACACGTGTCTGACAGCCTTTGATTCATCGCAGCGCGTATTCTGGAGCTTGAACTGGCGACGATCGCAGGCTTAATCCATCCGTAAAATTTTCTAGCTGTCTTCTTTCGAAGTTTTCGGCATTGTTGTGAAATGCTGGCGGAATTTTGGAAACGAAGTCCATTTACCTAACTTACGTAAGTAGGTAACGAGACTAAAAAAAATTGTAATAATTTTTTTTAAATAGTTTTGTTGTTGTTGTCATTTTTTGTGATATTGTTCAGTTTGAAGAATTATATTTTAACCGTTTCTTATTCAAGAATTCTGATTTGCGATAACTTCTTTTAGGCTTATATTGACCACATTAAGTAATTAAAATGATCAATTAACTGCTAAAATAAATATTAAATATTGCTAATT